GTCCTCTGGCAACCACCAACCTTTTGTCTGTGTCCACAGTTGTGTTTGCCTTCATCTGAGGTATTTCACGTAGCATAATGCCCTCAATGTATTTAACTATTTGACTTGAATGTCACGCCATGCTTACAGAAGCTATTTCCACTCCAAGCTCTAAATATGTACCATTGTTTTCCTCTAGTTTGTTATGGCTTCATTTTAAAAATATGGAATTCATCTTGGAGTACATTCATGTGCTATAAATATATTCCAGGGTATATCCCCAGGAGTGGAATGGCTGGGTCACAGACTTGCACAATTTTAACTTGACAAAATAATGACAAACTGCTTTCTACAGTGATTCCATGCAGGCTCTGCGTTCCTGGGACTCACATCCGCTCCACACCTGGAGTGGTGTTGCCGTGAAAGGCATCATCGATCAGCTCCAAGCCCAGCTTCTGTGCGGACTCAGTATGATACCTCAAGTCCCCTTCCCTTAGCTATCTGGCTTCCTTTTAGTTTCATTTAGTCTGTGGAGGGAGCATTAGGGGACTTGGAAGGTAGGGGGAGGTGGGAGGAGCTTTCTTTTCTGTTTCTCGGTCTTTCCATCAGTGTTCCAACTCCGGAATGTCATCCCAGCAGCAGAAGTTGCTGGTAACATGGCTATTTCCCAGAATCAGTCTCTCGGGGCTCACTCAGAGGAAGTCCTTCCCTTCAGAGGGAGCTGCAGTTCCTCAGGGTCGCTGTGATTGATCTTGCAGTGCTTCATGGGTAGCAGTCAGTGGGACCCTGTCCTCAAAATGCTACGCCTCAGTGGCTTGGGTCCTTTAGGTTTCTGAGGAACAGAGGCAGTGAGGCAAGGTCTGGATTTCTGCTCCCTAGACCTCTCCTTCAAGCTGCAATCGGACAAGCTCCACCCCTTGCATTTGCTCCCCCTGTTTAAGGGGTAGTAGCTGCTTCCTGCACTAGCGAGTTGGCTACCTAAGAGCTCCTTTTTTGGACTCTCACAAAAAAGCCACCATGTCACCAATTGCCGATGTTAAATTCTCTGTGATAATGTAACTATGTGGTTTCAATTTGCTTGACTGATAAATATATGGATTTTTAAATTTTTGCTCCTGGAATGGATATGAAATGATACTTCATTAAGTTCTCTTGTATGTGTTTCTCTGGTATAATAAGGAGGGTGCATACTTTTTGCATAAATTTCTTGACCATACATGTTTCCTTTCCTGTAAAATATTTTCTTATATCATTTGCTCTTTTTTTCCTACTGGAATTTTTTCTTATTGAGTTTTTGGTAGACTCTGGATGCCACTTGGTTGTAAGTTTTATGTGATTTAAGTATCTTCTCCCAGTTTGTGACTTATACTTCCACTTATGTTTTTTTAATGGAATAGTTTTTAATTTAATCTAATTTATTAGTTTTTGTGCTTAACTTCTTATATATTGTTCAAGAACTCCCTTTCTTTTCCAAGACAGTCACAATGAACTATTTAAATTTTGTCTTTTACATTTAAATTCTTAATTGCACTGGAATGGTGTGTGAGGAAATGTAGGATTTTTTTTTAAAGATTTTATTTATTTATGCATATAGAACCAGGGTACAGGCCAGAGATGTGGAGGGTGACAGGCTTCACCAGAGACAGAGTGGGGAACAGAACAGGCAGATTGATGAAGTACACTGCTGAGAGGAGCAGCGGGCGGGTCAGGAGAGGTCTGCCACGCCATGTGGTCACCTTCGGGACAGGCGGGAATCGAACTCATGCGGAAGCGGCTTTAGATTCTCAGTGCTGTGCTTTAACCCACTGCGCCACCAGGGAGGGCCGGAAATGTAGGATTTTGATTCCTTTCTTTGCCTACATTGTTTCCAACAATTACTCTTTTCCCTTTTGTGGACCATCACATACATTGTCATATGTCTAAGTTTGATGTATGTGGAAGCATATTTCTTTTCATATTTGTCACAATGGTAAATATATCGACTACTGTTTTAGATAATAATGTATCTTACTTCTGATTTACAAAGTTGGGTGGGAAGGTGGCCTAATAATCAGGCTTATTTTGTGTAATTACTTTCGTTTTTATTTAAATATTTCTAATTTCTTCACATTTCTAGACATCACTAAATGCGTTGCAAATTTACTAGTTCTAAGATCATTGGGAAGATTCTTCTAGTTTATGACACTATTCTAAGAATTTGAAAGAAGTTCTTCAGAGACATGTTTCTTTCTTTTTTCTTTTTAAAGATTTATTTATTTATGCACACAGAACTGGAGTACAGGCCAGAAGTGCAGGAGTGGTGAGAGGATTCTCCAGAGGCAGAGTGGGGAGCAGAACTGGCAGATCGACAAAGTATACTGCTGAGGGGAGCAGCAGGTGGGTGGGTCAGGAGAGGTCTGCTATGCCATGTGGGTCACTCCCTGACCGGGGATTGAACTTGAGGTAAAGTGGCTGCAGAGCGCTTCATGGTGCTGTGCTTTAACCCCTTGTGCCACCAGGGAGGGCCCAGAGACACATTTCTTTCTTTGTGGGTCAGCTCTCCTCTTTTGGGTATGGTACTTTCAATGCTAGCAAGCATGGTTATCTATAAAAGGAGCACTTTTTCCTTTTTTCAAATATAAATATGGCTCCAAGTCATCTATTTTCAACCTGGAATTTTGACAGAGATGTGTAAGGTGTCACTAAAATAACACAATTGACTTTTCCTTCCACGTTGTCTTAGGGATGACCCCATACACAATAAATAATGCTGTCAATCGTCAAGGAAATCGATTCATTATAAAATGCAAGTTTTCTTCTCCATCTCTCTTTATATACAACCACACATGAAAATCCGCCTATGTCCTTAACTCAATCTTGTTTTTGGCCAGTGTAGTTGTGCGAGTTGGGATGTTTCTGTGCAAGTACTGAAACCCATCACAGCTGACCTGGTGCTATCTCCCATGAGAGGAAACTTGATCCTTAGACTGTAGGACATAGCATCCGACAGAAGGCGTGCCAAAATGGCCTCTGCCAGATCATGGCCACCAAGGAAGGGGAAGCCCTTTCCTTCTATATGTCCTGTATTTTTTTAATTTCATCAAGCATCATCATTAAAGAGAATCTTTTCCAAAGGCCATTCTTTTATGTCTCATTGTCTAGAACTGGATCATGCAGCCACCTCCACTGAGGGAGAATGGAGAAGCACACTTCTTTCATATTAACTTCCTCATGGAAGGGAGGGGCTAAGTCTGTCCTCTTGAGAAACAATCCTAAAATCAACATTTGCAAAGCCCTCCCACTTACCTTTTTCTTTTAATTCTCATCAATATGCCTGATGATATGGAAAGTTGTTGTGACTACCTGTGTGGTGATGGAGGTTAGAGAAAGGATTGGGAACAGACTCTGATTGGCGACTGTGGGTCAGCCTGATCTACAGATGAAGAGGCCGGCACTCTGTAAGAAACCAGTCTAAGGTCTAGGGTGTCCTGAGTAGTAAGCATGGACCGTGGATCCCCATGGACCATCCACTAGCAATGACAGGTGTCATAAATCACTCTGGTTAATAGTGCTTTTTATAGGCCAGGTGACTTGGCCTTGACAACGTCAAGCCAGTGAAGGAGGTTGTGCCTCTCTCTGCCAGATGAGGAAACTGCAGGTCAAGGCCACACATGTACACGTTGCCTGTGGCCAGAGCACACTGTACTGCTTTCTACTTGGCACTCCCACCTTCTTTCTGAGCCATGATTCTGTGACTTTAAACCTTGGCCTTTGAGCTAAGATATCTGTGACTAGAAGCATCTTCATCTGTGTAACAGGGACAATTCTGCCTATTTCACTAGATTCCCATGAGGACTGACCATGATAAGCCATGTAAAGCAATAAGGGGACAAACACAGCAGACCCGCATTAGTGTAGGAGAAATGATTTCACTATAGTGACATTTCCGGCTATGTCCTTCCTGGCAAGACAGCAGTTCTCAAAGTTTGGGAATCGCGGATTAAGAGTTCACTCTGCGGAATTCTCACGGGCTCCAAGGCGTTCTCCTTTATGTGGTCTACAGCTACACTATTACACTTCAATTAATGCCGAGAAATTGTTTGAAGCAGAGTAACAAGCACATGTTGCCTGTGTTGCCAGAGTGACAGCCTGTGTCCGCTGGTAAGCTTCTCTGAATACCTGTGAGACAATGTGCATGAAAAAAGGGCAAAGCCGGTATGTGAACTACTACGGAGAAGTTCTGATTTCAAGAGGAACCCCAAGCGTCCCCGGAGCACACTTTGAGAACTGCGGCTGCCGGGCCCATGAATGAAGCGGCGCAGCCGGTTGCTGAGCGGGCGCAGCCGAGGTCGACGGGGCAGCGCGCGCGGAGCCTCCGCCGCCGGGACGTC